TCTTATTTTAATATGTAATATTTATCTCACTTTGTTTTATAACTGAGAAAACTGTAGTTCAAAGAAATTAAGCAACTTTCCCAACATCACATGACTATAAAACAGTGAAAGCAGAGCTGTGTGAAGAACTAATACAATCAACCACCGCACTGCACTGTTCCTGGAGCAACTTTGATTCTGCTTGAAAAATGGTAAAAGGAGAAATAACCACGCCAGCAACTCCCATTCTCTCCCATTTCCTTGTGTATCTGTAACTTGCTTGGTATGCAATCAAAGGAGATTACCACAGAGCAGTATTTTTTTTCAAACTGTACCAAGGATCAAACTCACAACCACATGCTTGCAAGGCAGGCACTTAGGCCGCTGAGCTAAATCCCCAGCCCAACAGAGCAGTATTATAATATAAACTTGGGTCACTTAAGAGTCATGTGCTTCTTTTGAACTAGAGATAGAGTTCAAATGTCAGCTCTGACTACAAGAAGAGATAGTATGCAACATATTTTCCTTAATTCAGTGAAAAATCTTAAAATTCCCTAGGATTTTTGAGAACACTTAAGGATGGCTTTAATCTTTCATGATTCTCAAAGGTATGGTACATTTAAGAGGCTTGCTAGGTTGGGGATGTGGCTTAGTGGTAGGGCACTTCTCTACCATCCATGAGGCCCTGGGTTTATCTCTAGCACCACAATAAATACCACACAGATACACAACACACAGGCACACACACACACACACACACACACAAATACATGCACACACAGAAAGTTCTTTGATATAGAATATTCAGCTGCAAACCCTTTAAATATGTAGCAGTGCCCAAAGTAAATAAATCTTTGCCATCATTTGGTGGATGCACCCTTATAAAGATTTGGTAATTTCTGCTGCCATGTAAAAGTTTGAACTAAGACTACGCTTTGTCTTTCTCTTAATCAGTTTGAATCTACAAAGATAATGCTACAGCTCTGTCTCAGTTACTTTTCTTGTTGCTAGGACAAAAAACCCAATACTTAAAGTTAAAGCAGGAAAGGTTTATTTAACTCACAGTGTGTGGAGGTTTTAGTCCATAATCAGCTGACTCCACAGGAGGGTGCCTTCACAGAGGAGAGCAATTCATGGTGAGCAGAAGATAGCAAAAGCAACAAGAGAGAAGAGAAAGCCTCTTTCAGTCCCTTACACTGTATGCAGCCACCACCACCACCACCCCCGCCCTAGGGCAGATGTAGCTCTCATGTCCCTGGTCTTAGCATTGGAACATGAATCCATCACAAACTCTACCTCCACCCACCTCTGAAAGCCAGGCCCCCATGACTGCACGAGGCTTTAGAGGCACATGTAGACAAAACCATAACAAGCTTCATCTAGTCTTCAGAAGTTTTTCTTAGAAATTAAACGTAATTTTAATTCCATATACTATGAATGTAGATATAGATGATCAGCTGCTTTAACTTCACACTTTTAATAGTTATAACATTAATACTAAGCATCATTCTTATTCATTTTTAATTTCTTTCCATCTACAGATAGATGTGTTAACTCTATAAATAAATGTATGTGTATGTAATATTTACATATATATGACTAATTTTTGTTGTCATACCTGTAGTGGCAAGGTAACATTCAAGGAATTTGATGTAGGATAAGAATAACAAAATTAATGACAGGAGGTATGATTATTGTGTAACCATGCAATGCTAGAGCAAGAAGGTTAAGCAGAAATGAAACTGGGCTCTGAATTATACAGATTAAAGGGAATAGGAACTGAGCTCAAATCATTGTATAAAGAATTATTGAAATGAAAGAAGCTGTTCCACAAAATGGTCCATAATTGAAATCTCAATTCCATTACACAAAACAGGGGGAAGCCTAACTCCAGAGCTTTGAAAAATGCATGCATAGGGGCTGGGGATTTAGCTCAGCGGCATAAGCGCCTGCCTTGTAAGCGGGCAGTCATGAGTTTGATCCCCAGTACCAATAAAAAGGAAAAAGACAAAAAAAAAAAATATGCATGCATAGCCATGATAATGCCTCACTGTATACTCTTCTGGATCCCTACTCTAAGATTTGTTATTATCATATTGACTGGAAAATCCTGAAAAGCAATTGTCCTAATACCCTTAATATTTAACTTACCTGATTAATTTACTTTTTATTAGTTGAAAATGTCTTTTTCAGCTGATATTTCTGAAACCTATATATTGCCTTATATTTATTTGTTCTTCGTTTATTAGACAGATCTGCAAATTGTTAGGGTTGATTTTAGCACTGAGTGCCCTCACCCCCCCCCCCTTTTCTATATTTAATTCTCCTCAGCTTGGGACACACAGGGAGGAAAGCTTGTCTCCAAGAATACAGCATAATCTATGGTATGCGTTTCTCTGAGCTTATTCCTTTGCTCCTTGGTCCCTCTGACAGCAATGGGTCGGGCATTTGTGGCAGCACGGCTGGATGGCAGGAACCCTTCTGTCCCTAAAAGTCACATTTTTTGTGGTAGCACGTAGGCCAAATAGGAGTCGAGTGACTTAGTGAGCAGAACTTGATTAAATTCAGAGTTAATGCAAGATAATTACAAAACAGAACAGTATAAACCATTTATCAATGTAAATATGTGTTTGGCAGAGAGTCCTCAGAGAAAAGGAATGAGGAGAGTGGAGGTTCAGAGAGGCTGGGGAGAAAGCAGGGGGTGCATGCAGAAGAATAAGGAGAGAGAAATCTGCAGGAGGCACTCCTGGTTTCTTCCCCCAACTTTTCCAGTGGGGTTTCTCCCCCATTATTCAGCCCTGAAGGCTGCTTTTCTCTTTTTCTCTGTATGTGGAGGTGGAGAGCATCACAGCACACTGAGACCCTGATGGTTGAGGGAGTGTACACAGAGACAGGAGAAAAGCAAGTCCTTTAACGTTAAAGATGATTACAAATGTGTGTAATCATTTGTGTAAAATGAAAAGATACAGAAGCCTACAACCTCAATAGTAAAAACACTCTCCCTCCAGCCATTAAATACACTGTACCAACCTCTTCCTATTTTTTCCTTCTAGTGGATTTCGCTGACACCACTGTACATCCCTCTTGATGTACCCTCTCCAATCCCAGTGTGATCTGTACTAACTCTTTTGTTTACCTAGCAGGACACCTGTCTTATTGTGTGTCTAAGTGCCTGCACGCCTTTTCCATGCTTTAAAATTTATTTTTTTATTACCCCATGTTTTCAGCATGTTACGCCTGTATTTACGGCGGCAAGCTGGGACAGACACAGAATGCACCTTGATGGTTTTTCCTTCCTTTCCCTCCCATCATCCCTCCCTGCTCCACTCTTGTTCCCTTTCCATTTGCAAAACGTGTACTTCCATCTTTTAAGTTCTCTTTCTGTCCCTTTTTATCCTTCTTCCCTCACCCCTCTGCATCCCTCCCTCTTTTGTTCCCTTTGCAAAAGATCTTTCTAGTTCTTATTTTGCTCCTTGTTTATATTTCAGATTTCTCATGTAAGAGAAATCTGAATCTCTTTTGTGACAGAGTAGTAGTCCATTGTATACCACGTTTTCTTTTCCTATCCATTTGTTGTTGGGCAGATAGGTTGTTTCCAAGATTTAGCTATTATGGCTGTGTGGCTATAAACATGACTTGATACCCTGAAACATGGTGACTTCATCTCTTTGGGGAAGATAACTACAAGAAGGGCCCCATCTTTACTGCATTTGTTATTATTTAATATCTTGAGGCTCACCATTCATTCTGGGGTAAGATGGCATCTCAGCATCATTACTTTGCGTTTCTCTTTAGAGTGATGCTGGCCGGTTTTTCATGTTTATTTGCCAACTATACTTCTGAGACATGGCTATTCACTTTGGTTGTCATTTTTTTTAACTGGGTTTTTTTATTTTGGGGGGCTAACTTTTCTGTTTTTTATCATGACTTTCAGTAGTTGTGTCTTGGGCCACTTTAATGGTTTATAAAATAAAATTTAACATTAAATAATGGCTTGATATTTTTAACAGTTGTATAAAATTTTTAACAGAAAGGTAAATATGAAGGAATAGCTTACATTTTAGCAGTTGTATAAAGATTAATTTGTTTAATCATAGCGCCACCGTGGAAAGATTTTTGTTCAGTATCTTCTTTGCTATGTCCTCATTTTTGCACCAACTGTCCTAACAAGACTCTAGATGCTGATGGCACCGTTTTACTATTTGGATCTCCTACTGTTTGGACCCTCTCTCCGCCATCTCTATACTGAGGCTGTTTCTACAATAGTGTCCTGGGCTCTAAAGCCCACTTGATAGTGATGGTCTCGCGTGGCCAGCTGAGTCCCTGTCCTCTGGGCTGGTCAGCTGTGCCATGATCCTGTGCCTCCCCTTCTCCTGACACTGAGGTTCCCAGGTTTCATTAACCAAGTCCCCAGACTCTTGCAGTTCAGCAGGGGCCGCGGAGAACCAGCAGCACAGTCCAGGGGTCTGCAGTCCGAACTTCTTGGCTCCCAGCTGTTGCTGCGAGGTGGGCTCAGCTGACCCTGGGACCTGACCCCTCAGTGGGCTGGGCACGGAACCGCACACTAGTGGACAGCACGAGCTTCCACGCAGGACAGGGGTGGAGGTGCTGGCTCGGTGTTGGTGAGGTTCGCTTCAGTTGCCACCAAACCGTGAGGGAGTCGCTGCGGAGCAAAACCAGCTCTTAGAGGACAGCAGAGGCCGCGGACCACCTGCGAACACGTGTCCCCGACGGAGCGTCCCTGGCGCGCGCGCAACGCACACCTGTACACGAGCTCGCAGCACACAACATACGCACACCACGCGCACCCAATGGTACACCAGGTCACGCGCATATAAGCTCACACGCACACCACACGCGTGCTCACGCATGCACGCACGCTCGCACAAGCTCACACGCGCGCGTGCACACAAAACGCGGGCGCACACGAGCTCACGCACACGCGCATCCCTCCAGATTTTGCAGTTCTAAGGGCAGAGCTCCGGGTATACAAGTAGCAAGGTGCCAACAGCTGCCCCCCAGAGCTGGCCAGGCAGCGCCCTCGCAGATCTAATGCGGGCCTAGTCCTTGGCCCCAGCGGGAGGCGCCAGGCGCAGTGGGCGGAGACCGCAGGTCGCCTTCTCTGCCGCTTATTGGCTGCGAACGGGACCGTGGAGCCCGGCCCCCTGCGGCTCGTCTCACCATTGGCCGGACAAGGTGTCCTTCAGGGCGGGCCGCTCAGGCAGCAGCAACCTTAGCTCGTTGTCGCCGCCGCAGCCGCTGCGCGGTCCGCTCCGCCGCGCCCGGGTGGACGCTGCCTTCTCCGCGGACACCATGGTGAGTGCGGCCGGGCTAGACCCGGGCCCAAGGCAGGAACCCGGCTGCGCGGGGCTCTGGGGGAGCGGGAGGCGGCAGGCGGGAGCAGCGCTGCCTCGGTGCCCTGCCAGGTCCGCTGGGCGGCGCCCGGGCCCGCGACCCCCGGGGCTAGCAGGGTCCCGTGCCGTGTGCGGGTGATGGTCGCGGGGCCGGGCGCGGACCGAGCTCGGCCGGAAGGGGGCGCGGGGACCTCGGGATGCGGGGACGTTGGGGTCGGGGATCTCGGGGCGCTGGGACCTCGGGGTGCGGGAATCTTGGGGTGTTGGGACCTCAAGGTGCGGGGATTTCGGGGCGCGGGGGCGGGAGGACCTCGGGATGAGGAGATCTCGGGGTGCAGGGACCTCGGGGTGCAGGGGTCTTGGAGCGGGGAGCCTTGGGATAAGGAGACCTTGAGGTGCAGGGACCCCGGGGCGGGGCGGGTCCTGACTCCCTTCTCTGCCCCACAGTACGGGTTCGTGAACCACGCCCTGGAGCTTCTAGTGATCCGCAACTACGGCCCCGAGGTGTGGGAGGACATCAAGTAAGTGCCGCGCCCCCGCCCGCCCGCGCTCCCTGCTCCCACGCCGGGTCACGGCCCCGCCCGCGAGCGTGGGAACCGCGCGCAGCCCGCGCTCCCAGCTCCCAGCCCGGCCGGCGCGGACCCAGCCGCGGGCCACGGGGCGGGGCGCCTGTGCTCGCGGGCGTCGGGACTGCGGCTTCCCGCTCTGAAAATGCGAGGAGATCGGAGTGCTTTCTCTTTAAGGGCCCCATCCCTCCTTCCCTTCTTTATCATTTGACAATTTAGATTTTTTTCGTTTTCGACCGTGTTGCAGCCTGATGTTCTCCTGGGAGAACATCCTAGTTTCTGTCTAGAGCTGCAGGCCCAGCACCCAGGGTGTGACCCGCGATCCCACACTGGCCTGTTAGTTAAAGCTCTGAAATAATGGATCCTGATCCATTTGGGCTTTTGAACTCTGCCTTTAACTTGCTGTTTCGCTAGCTACAGGCTGGCTGTTCCAGGCCATATTTAGATACTGTTATCCCAAAGGGAAGGTGGCCAGGCAAGGGCCACCTGTGTGGACAGATGGAAACGTCTTTATTCCGCGTTCTGATTTCATTCGGTTATCTCAAGTACGTGTTGACTTCTTGCTAGTTTTTTCTAAGCACCTACTATTATTAGCCATCAGGCTAACAGACCTTATTATACAGTGACACGACCGAGATTATTCTTACAGTTATCTGTTGCTATGGAAATGATGAGGGTTATAATTTATAAGCTCAAGAACATCTCCTGCATCTGTATTATTATCTCTTTCATATAACATAATTAGTTATGTTACCCACAGGGGACATGCACATAATAGAAAGAAAAGTCAATATTTGGCAATTATATGGTTATATATTAAAGGTTTCATTGCGATTTGGGTTTTTCCACTTTGTTAGTAACTTCATAATTTTTGGTTTGCTTAGTACGCAGATATAGGAAAGGCACACACTAAGAGCATGGTTTTAAGCAGTGACATTAAAGTCTAGGTTTATTTTTAAACCACTTCCTTTGTGAATTTATGGAAGCAACATATGTGGCCCCAGAGGATGTTTTCTCTTCTGTGAAACAGAAATTCACAAATGTACTGGTGAATACAGTGACAGTTAAAATGTTTAGAATTCAAGGAACACAGTGAAAGTGGCTACTTAACAGTCGTTATGTAATTTCACCAGGTTTAGCATGTGTATTCCACCCATTATCAACTGTTAATCCGTAATTATGGAGATGAAAAACATACTTCACAAATATGTCAGAAAAAATTTACAAATTCATCAAGAAATTAGTTTAAAAGAAAAAAAATTAGTCCATATTGGCCATATGTTCCTAAAGGAAATCAAAAGCTAAAAATATACAAATTTTATTGATGCTTGCCAAATCACCCTAAGAATATTTTGAGTTTCTACTTTAAACAGTTACTTACTAATTTTAATTAAAGCACGAGTATCTGTTATCTCTGATTTATCTTTTTCAATTTAAACTGTAAGCTGTTCAAATGATAGCTAGGATTGCCAAAAAATTTTTTTGTAAAATAAAGTTGTATGCGTATTTTTAAAAATACATTTTACCGCAAGGATTATGCTTCTGCAAGGAAATTACTGTTGATGTAGTGTCTGCACTCCCCCAGGGGTTCAGGTTCCTCCTTTCCTGAACTGCAGGGGATTCCAGCTGTTCTGGGTGCAGTTTAGTGTTGGGTGGAGGACAGGGTTCAGGCCCCTATGTTAGGGAGTTAAAGCTGCTTGCAGTTCCCTAACCCTGACCTGGAGAGACCCTTAACTTTCCCTGCCCGACCCTTTGTTTGCTGTAGTAGCTCCGACTCAGCCTGGGTGGACAAGGAGAAAGTGCAGGATCACAATTAGAAAGGTTCTGCTCCTCCTGCCCCGTTGCCACCACTCCCTGGAAGCTTAAGTATTGGTCCAGGATTTTCGTTTTTAACTTATGAGAAACTGAATACCCAAGAAAATATTTTTCTTTGTTTCAGTAAGTATGAGGCTCTCACTGTCTTTTTTTTTTTCTCTGGAAAATTATGTAAATGGGTGTTTGTCAAATTTTATATAATACTTTTCTGGCTTAGTAGGAAATGGCCATCAATCCTACATGAGAAAGGATGCCAAACATTTAATGACAAAATAAAATCTGAAGCAACAGACTCCAGACAAAATTCTTAATGGATAAGAGCCAAAAAAAAAATGCTTCCTGGTCAACTCAGTATCCACCTCTACTCTTACTAACCTGAGACCATGCACGGCTGCTGCATTTCTCTCCTGAAGAAAAGGAAGAAGGGTGTGCGCCAGGAGCCATCGAGCTTGCTTTTAACGAGCAGCAGGTGTTTTCAGGTGTCCCGGATGGAGTTGAAATTGAGGTTGTCAGGCTGGACCTGGGCAGCTATCACAGTGCAGCTGCCTGGTGCGACTAGAAAAGGTAGTGCTTAGAGGGCCAAGCTGGCCCCCGAGAGCTGGCGTCTGCCACCTCTGATCCCTATCATAACAGATGTGAAAAAGTGCAAGAAACCTTTTAATTTTTTGAAAAGGTCCACAAATGGAGTAAAAAATGTGAAAATATTTAACATGATGAAAACATTAAAAAACAAGGACAGAGATTTAGTGTCAACAAGCATAACATGTGCAAGACCCTGGGTTTAGTTCTCACCTATGCAAATAAACAAGACACTAAAAAACTGACCTAAAACGAGCAAGTCTGACTATAATTATTTGCCTATAGTTGAGCTGACCAGGGAACATCTAAAAGTGCTATACAGAGTATCAATTAGCCTTTTCTGATCTGTTTTACTAACAGATCTGAGGGTAAATAGTGGGGTGAAAATTTTGGCATGTGAGTTACAAATTTGATAATATAATTACTGCGTTAGTTACAAATACAGCAGTTGGTTCCTTTGGAAAGCTGACAGTCTTCTCTTTTGTAAAGAGTTTGCTTGGTATGGGTTTATCTGGTTTTTTTACAATAGGCTGTGCTTTTTCATTCATGGGGCTATTCTTTCCCTTACTGTTAAGCTTATCTTTAATGGCATAATTTAGTGTTTGAGCACCAATCATTGAAAAGCAAATGACGTAATTGTTGGCTTAGAACATCCAGAGATATCAGAATATTTTTATTCTTATTAATTAACTTTCCTGTCTGTAACTCAAATATGGAAACACGTCGACTGTTGAAAAGCATGTACTGATTTTCCAGGTTTGAAATTAATGTCTCAAGTTGAATTTGATAATCATGAATTAAACATTATTGTTGAAACACACAAACTCTTTATCATCAACTCATTGTGTCCCTTTTAGGTTGCCTCAGCCTCCCAAATCTCAACCACGTGAGCAAGGATAGTCCTGATTTAAGGGTTTGTTGCAATGCCCGGAATACTGCTGGCAAATTCTAGAGCTCCATTCTTAAATAGCTGCTTAACATAGCTATCTTTCATTTTACTTTAGAATGGAAGGTTTTCAACCTTTCTTTCTCTTATCTGTTCTCAGCGTAGAGGCCCGAGCCTGGGGTGTAGCTAGGAGCGAGAGTGCTGGCCCAGCTTGCATGAGCCCCTAGGGTTCCATTCCCAGTCCACTGCAGTCTGCCTAGGACAGCAGGCTGAATGTTTTCTGGTTGCTCCATCACTTAAGAAGCAGTAATAATTTCACTGTCCTTTGCATTATTGTTACTCTTTTACACATTCTCTGCAACTAATGCCAGTACTTTTTTGTTCTTTTAATAGCAGCTTTATTGGACTAAAATTTGTCTAACACACAATATACACACTTAAAGTACAAAATGCACACTGACAAAGTTGTACCACCATGACTGCCATCACACTTTGCTCATTTTTATTATCCCAAAACAAAACCCTCCCCATCTGCTGTCTTTCCCACCTGAAGCAGCTCTGGGATGCTCCACTTCTTTCCGTGTGGGTCCCACCACTGTCCCTCGTGCCACTCTGGTAGCCCCTCCCAGCTGCCCTGTGTCTGACTGGCCCCTTCCTCTCTTCTCCATATGCTGGCTTCCTGCTGAGCGTCTGCTTAGGCATCAGTCTTACGTTATAGTTTTCATTCCTCTCTGTGCCTTCAATGCTTAGTTATTGTCAAAAAATTCTGTGTGTGCGTTTAACATTCATGTTATCAAAACCAATTAAAACAAGCAAATAGTGGGTGTTTCCCCTTGTTTTGTAAGATTTTTCCTGATTGCAATAGTGTAGGTTTGTACACATCTCCATATCTGTACTCAGGAGTAAGCAAACCTATGCAGATTGGAATTGTTAGCAGCACTTCATATGACAAAGCTGTGCAAACTTTTCCTGTCCTCTTTGTGATTCCAGATGAGGGCTATGATACCCATTTGAAATACAAAAGGACTTCCTAGCTCCGTGGTTTAATTTGCTAGGTGCTACCTGCACAATTCCATACAGAAAGTTGAAGAGGGAGGACTTTGACTCTGTTCCCTGATGCCCTGCTTAATACTTCTTGTAAAACAGCAGTGTGAGGGCTGAGGTGACGTGTAGCTCAGTGACAGAGCCCTGCCTAGCATGTGAGGCCCTGGATTCAACCTCCAGTTTCTCACAAGATGAACGTGAAGTAGAATCTAATGCAGCATATGTTAAAAATTAAAACCATATTGGTCTTCATGCCCAGAATTACCTCAGAATGTATAAACAAATTAATATGCAGATAAAGCAATAGATAAAAGGGCCAGGGATATAGCTCAGCAGCACAGTGCCCGTCTGGCAAGCGTGAGGACATGAGTTTGGTTTCTAGTCAAAAAAGAAAGAAAAAAAGATAAAGCAGATCCTCCTCGTTAGGATCAGGACCCACAGACCTACAGAATGATCTGCTAGTTAGTTTGAAAGACAGCAGAACGCCCTGTATGTTAGCTGATAAACTCACTAAGGTTTGAAATAATTTGAGGAGTGTGGATGTCCACACGTGAACCCCTCGGCCACCTGCTCGTGGGCCTTGCATTGGGCTCCCCCAGAACTCGGACTGTGTTGTGGAAGGAGCTGGCCC